TAGTGAAAATACCGGTCAACCTCTACTAAATCATATTATTCAAAGCTGGATGGAAGGGGAGGGTGTTCCTGTCCATTAAGGAAAATAAAATATGGTGCTCACAGTATATTGGGCCGGGGGTAGCAAAGTAGCAAAGACAACTTGTACTATAGGGTCAACTCCAGACACCAGATACAAGCCATTTCATTCTAGAATAAATGTGGCTGTTTGGGGGGGGCATGGTGAGGATTGAGAGAGGAGCACAATTCCAATCCTGCACTCCAGAATCTCATGATCCAGTGAGTCCCATACATAAAATACCATTCATTTAAGAAGTACTCTTAATGCTGACTGTATTCTAGACACTGTGCCAGGCACTCAGAATATAATTGTAAACAAGGGAGATAATGGTAGAATACTTCACGGAATTCACAGTTGGGTGGGTCAAGCAGATGTACCCACAGCGGATGAGTGAGGAGTCCTCCATCTACCTGTCCATTCATTCACACGTTCATTTGTATATTCAAGGAACATTTAAAGAACATCAGACACGTCCAACCCCTGGGCACACACAGCAAGGGATGTGCAGTCCAGCGCCCAATCCCTACCAAGCCTAGATCCAGCAGAATTGTGGTCAGGGTGTGTCCTGAATAGGAGTATGCAAGTGGTCAGAAGAGGGTGTGTGGCCCTCTGATCCCCTCTGAGGGTGCGGATCAGAGAGGGCTTTGCAAATGAAGTGGAGCTCAAGCAGAGGCAGGTTGGAGCCTGCCCAGTTTAGGAGGGAGTCAGTTTCTGGTCCCTTGCCCTGTATTCTTTAGAACCTGGCAAGGCCAGCAAAGAGGTTCTCAGGCTTAGGCTCCGGGCTGTGGCTGATCAAGTGGAGGCCTCTGTTTATATCCAAGTTGGCATCAGCTGTGCCATGGGTCCTTGCTGCTGCAGAAGCACAGGCAGTCTCATGGGCACACAGCGAAGCTCAGTGAGAAGTCGGAGCAAGGAATCCAAATACCACCCCAAGTGTCTTTGCCTTGCTGCCTCCCTAGGGTCACAGAGGGGAAGAGAGTAAGCGCCAGCGCCTAGGAATGCTTCCCTGTCTGCCCAAAGGTCAGAAAGTACTTCCATGTCAGTGCTCCTGTTAGCTATATAGGGGGATAGGGCAGGACAGGAGAGACTGAGAAGTCCAGGAAATCCCCTCAAGGACATTATTTTCAGTGGCTATGTTCATATCCTGCAATTGTGCCAGCCCCGATTTGGTTTAGCTCACAACACCGTCATGGGACACTTACTCTGTGCCCAGCACCATGGGAGCCACTGAGCCAAGCAAGATGAGGAGGACACGGTTACTGCCTGGAAGGGAATACCCTATAAAGGGTCACAGGCGTGCGCAACAGTGCTCATGCGCCAGCCAAGGAGCATGCGGAATGCCTACGGAGAATGTGCACCCACAGTGTGCAACTCAGATCTAAGCACAGGGGTGGACTTGAACGATATTTAGGGGGTGAAATCTCCCGCTCTTGGTGATTGACGGTGGCAGGAGCCTTCAGGTAAAAGAAAGAACACCGGATCCTTTCCCTGCATCGACCATTCTATGAATTCTTTCGCTCTGTGTCCTTCCCCCTCCCTGGTTTCAGTTTTCCCCTCTGATCAGTGTGGGGATCTACCAGATGTTCCCTTATACACTGCTTCTGTGCCGGTTGTGATGCACCAGATGTCTGCTGCGCTTTGTTTCATTCATTCAGCGCCCACTATGTACCAATACCTTTTAGCATAGTCTTCACACCAGTTTACAGCTACCCTGTCCTGAGGATGTTATTGTCCGCACTTGAAATATGAGAAACCCGAGGCTCAGAGAGAGAGTGTGTGTTTATATCGTCAACGACGGGCCCTACACAGAGATCTAGAAACCCTTGATCTCTCGCCTGCGAACCTTTTCACCCTCCACGGAATTAGCTTAATGGGACATGTGCCTGGGGGTTCCCTCTGGGCTTGACCTTCAGTTCCAGGAGCCCGCCCTTCCCCCAGTCCTTAATGGGTTTCGTGGTGTGGTTTGAATGTTGTGGGGGTGGCAAGCACATCCTGGGATGTGGGTGGCTGAATGCGCCACCGAAGGCTTAGACTCCAGACGTGTGGATCAGAAAAGAACACCTGGAAGAAAACCTAGACGTCTTTTAGCCCACCCTTCGCATTTATGAGCTGAGAAAAATAAGGTGCCGATTGGGGAGGAAAGTAGCGTAAGGTCACACGCAAAGCCACAGGCTGCGTACAGCGCGCATCGCTGAATCTCAGGGTCTTTCGCCTACCACTAGGTCCTCCGGACCCCAGGACCCACCCTGACCCCCGAAGGAGAGTCCCGGCCCTTCCCTCCTCCTGGCAGTCTCCCCCATCACCACCCCATTAAGGAGCGGGGCGAGGCTCCCTCTCCATCTGGGTAATTATGTTCTCATTAGGAGCCCATCCGCGCGCGCTGTGAGCATTAGCGCTCCGGCGCAGCTTGGGAGGCGCGCTCTCAGCTCTGCTGAGGGTGGAAACCGCGGCTGGCGAGCAGGCAAGCCCGCAGCCCCAGTAGGACCTTGCGCGACCCCGCGCGACTTCTCGGAAAGCAGAGATGGCAGTGCCCAGACGGCTAGGAACGCTTGGCACTGTGTGGAGAACCGGGTGGAGCAGCCAGTTCCTTGGGTGCCAGAAGTCTGCCTGGATTCCCCTCACCACAGCCCTAGGCCTACCTAGCTGGGTGCTGGCCTCTGCTCTCAGAGAGGCGAGTTGGGAAGGCAGGGTGGCAGGAGAGGCCACCCTCCAAAGAGGGAGGTCACAGAAGAGATGACAATTCTTGCCTACCTGGGAGGTAGAAAGCTCCCTGGAAGAAGTGTCCTTTAGTATGAAAGCAGGGGACAAGGAAGTAACCAAGGTGACCTGGGCTGGGGAGAAACCTTTCAGACAAAGGGTGAGGCTGAATGGTGGCTGTGGGAGGAGGGGCTCTGGAACCCCTAGAGGCTCTGCTCTAAAGCATTTTATTTTAGATGAAAGCAGGAGGCAGGGCCCAGATCTGCAAGGACTTAGAGGATTTAAAGCTTTAAAGGAAGCCACAGTGAGGTGTAGCTTTTAGAATCGTCCCACAACCCCCTCCCCAGCCTCAGGTCCCCAGTGGGGAGGAAGTCCCTACTGAGCCCTGGACACTTTCTTCTCCATCCCTCTCAATTCCCAGCACACCAGTTGGAGTCTCTGATGTCCTCTCATTGGGAGCTCAATTTTCAGGCAAAGGTTGATGTACACTCACCCCCATCTTCACCCCAGAAGTGAGGGAGGCCAATGGGGGGAGCTGTCCTGTTTGGAAAAGTAAGAACCCCAGAGCCCTCTGGGGCACGGGCATCAGTTTAAGTGCTTGCTTGGCATGGGCCACCACTGCCCCATGAATCACAAAGGGAGTGGGAGAGGAGGAGGGGCCCAGCCCCAGGCGTCCCCTTCCTCACTGCAGGCAAGCAAGGCCTAGACCAGGAGGGAGTGAGTGCCTTGTCCTGTGTGGGCATGACAGCCTCCCAGAGGAAGCCACCTTTTAGCTGAACTTCCTAGATCCTCAGGGGGTAAGATTTTGAAAAGTGAAGTAGAAAAGCTACTTCGATTTCAAGGACAAGAGCAGCAGGTGTGGAGGCCATAAAGAACCATGGAAGATGGGTTCATTAAATGGCAGAAGGAAGGTCAGCAAGTGGGAGTAAAGGAGGCCGGAGTCAGACTGAGCAGGATCTCCAATGCCAAGTTAAGGTTTGGGGGTAAGCAGGGACTCTCCCCCAGGAAGGGGGCAGGTACAGTCAGAGGAAACTTCTCCCTCTTCCTCCCCCTGGGGGCCCATTTACTTTGGCTATTTTTGCTTTCCAGGCTCTAGAGCTGCTGGTCAGGGGTGAGCCCCAGTTCCTGGACAGGTGGGCTTTCCCAGGGCCTAGTCAGCACAGGCTCCAGCCAGGACTCACCAACCACTCCAGACCCTGGGGATCAGAAAGAACCTGTCAAGGCAAAAGAAGGGTCCTGCCCTGGTCTAAGAATAAATGAGGGCTGAGTCCACCTGGGGATGTCTTGATTCCTCCCATTCCTGAATACACATGGACAGACTGAGGCTCAGAGAGGGGACTTGTCGCTCACCTAGCTGGAATACATTCCTATGGTCCCCTACAGCCCCAACCACGGGAACAAAACCCTGCTGTTCCTGCCCTCAGGAAGGGGAACGCCCCTCAGCCCGCCGAACTCCAAGGTGTTCTGGACAAAGCTTCCTCCGGTGTGGCTCCCCAACCACAGGGCCTCCAAGCCTCAAATCTAGGGCGAAGCAACCGGCAGCGTCCCTACACACCTGGAGAGCAGTTCCTGCACCCGCAGCGCTGTTGTTCGAGGTAGTTCTGCGGTCAAAGACTCCTTTTGTCCCTGACTGCTTCCCAAAAGGAAGACCACAGAGTGTGTCTCTTTTTAAAAGGAGTAGTTTTTCTTTTAAATTCCTTTAAGATCCCTTATTCATCCTCCTCCTTACCTCGGATAGGCACTAGCTGGGGAGGAGGGGGACTGTTGGGCAGAAGGAGAAAAGCACTCTGTCCGCTGCCATCTACCCCCTACCTATCCCCGCAGGACTTAGGGCCTCCAGGGTTGCGCGGAAGGAAGGCGCCCGCTACAGATAACCCGCGGTCCCTGGATTGCGCGCGGAGGAGAAACAGGGCCCGGGTTTCAAATGAAGGCCGGTGCTTGGTGAATCTTTAACTCAGAAAAGCTGCAGGAAAAAAAAAATTTCTCCAAAGGGAAATGTTGCCTGTTGTGCTATTATTAACTAGCCCCCTTTTCCCATCCTTCTCGCCTGAGTCAATTAAATTCAACCCTGAACCTCCCACCGGGAAAAAGCCTCTAAGTAGGAACCTTAACTAGAGAGGACCACCCGGCTGTGAATCCTGGCCCTTTGACCTTGCCGCTCCGCCCCACCTTTGTCGCCCCCCACCCCCACCCCGGGCTTCCCATTGCCGGTGATCCCGGCCGCCGAAGCTACTGGGCCAGCCTTCCAGACTTAAAATGAAGTCGTTTATTTCAATTTTGCTTTCACATTGTGTTCCGATACAATCAAAACTCCTGGACGAACCTCTTGAACAAAAGTCTTGCAAATGAGCGCAATCACACCGGTCCTGCGCACCCGGGTAATCCAGCGGGTGGACTCGGAATTCAGAGGTGGTGGTATAAAACCGCTTCCAATGGTGGTATACACTGCTTTGGGAACTGCGGAGCGGACGAGGGTTGGGGACATCCAGGGACAGAAGGCGTGGGGAAGCGGACAGGCTGGGTTCCGGTCTTCGAATTGGGATGATTCCTGATGCGTTTGGAATTCGAAAGACCCAAACTTCACTCCCAGGCCGATGGCTGAAGCCTGGCCTACCACGATCTCGGGCAGATTTCTTAACGTTTGCGCCAAAGCAGCGAGCACGGGCGAAGGCAGGGCTGGCCCTAGGCCTTGTACAAGAAGCGCGGGACTGGCTTTTCCAAGAAGCCGTTGCGCCTGGCCTTTCTCTGGTGGCATTCTTTCAAGACTCCTGTCTCTGAATCTTGCTCGCCCTTCGGACACCCCAGGCCCCCGCGACCTCACAACTGGGGAAGACGCGGAGTTTGGAAAGCTGTTTCAGAAAAATAAAAGTCCCACTTCGACTTTATTGGATCAAAGCAAAATTAAATCTTGGCTATTCACACGTATGTTACAGAGGACGAGGAAGCGTCCGGAAGAACCTCCTTGTGGAGCCACAGAGCACGCGGGCATGGACAAGCATCAGAACATGGAGCAGCCTCAGATTTCACGATCACTCCGAATAGGACATAGAAATACAGAAATACAGCCAGTTTCCACTGGGAAGAGTTCTTCGTGTACAAATGATATATATTTATGTATATTTTAAACCAGTCACCACTAAGGTGAGTCCTTTCTCGGCTAGCAAGCAGCCGAGGATACAGAGTATCTTCGGCTAATTAACTCTTGAGCGGTGTTTTAAGAAGAGCAATACTTGTCAAGTTAAAACTACCTCCCCCATTCCAAAGCAAAAACAGAGAACAAAAATTTTTACCCCCTCTCCAAACTAAAAAGAAAGAGGAAACATGTTAGGGTTCAATAAGTGGAAGGATTTAGAGGAGGGAGAGGGAGAGAGAGATTTTTACATTATTAGTTAAGTACAAAGTTTCTTTTAAATAAATTGTTGGGAACCGAACTTGGGGGGTCAGAAACAATGACGAGGCAGTCACTTGCTTGATTACTGAACCTGGAATGGGGAGGCGAGTTTATTTTTGGAAATGTGAGTGCGCAGAGCTAAGCGGAATTTACTTCTCCTAATAAGGAAATGGACCAAGTTGTCCAACCGCAGATGCGCACATTTTTGCCCAGATACAGCCAGTGAACGTGTAGGAAGTTTCAAGTGGTGCTACTTTCTCGCCCTCTTAATTTCAGACCTTTTCTCCTGCCTTCCCCCCTCTCCCGGCCTCCATCCAGGCTTTGGGCCATTCAGAGGGGGAACACGAGGAATCCGGAGAAGGTCGAGTACTTCCAGCCCCCCATCAAGTTCCCCCGCTCCAGCTTGAGGTATGCTCGGTCGCCTTTCTCCATTTGAATCAGGACTCCGTTGCTGGCGGCCTCCCGCGTCACGTCCTGGTCGCCAGCGAAGGCTGAAATCACTGGCCACCCGTTTAACATGAGGCTCACCTAGAAAGAGAAAAGCCAGCTTCAGAGACGCAACCTAGGCGGGTCCCCAAGCTGCGGTGGAGAAGCATCCTCCTCCGCGCTTGGATAATAGCCGCCAAGGACTGGCTGGGAGGGTTTGGGGAGGGTAAGGGGGCTTTGCAGCTTACTGCTGAGGGTCCAATGGGGAAGGAAAGACCATAAACCTGTGGGAGAGGAAGGGTCTGACTGCTAAATGGGATTCACCCTCATTCCAGTTTTTCAAATGAGCGCCCCAAGTAAATCCCATTGAGCCTTAACCAGCTGAAGGAACGCGCGGGTGGCTTTAGAGCTCCCTGAGACCTTTGACTTTTTTTTTTTTGCTTTCTCCAGCCTCAAAGAGAACCTCGGGCAACTCTGCTTCTGGCGCCCAGAAAACAAAAACAAACAAACTAAAATTCTGGTCCCTCCCGGTCCCAGTTGCCGGGACACTGTGGAGAGGTAATGGAGAAGCGGGACAGGGCTTCTGGCTAGGTAGACATCACAGGCCAATCTGCACTCTGCGCTTTATCTCTGAACCACCGGTTCAGTGCCCGCCCCAGCTCTGGCCGCGCCCGCCCCTGCCTGGTTTTGCCCTTGCTGCGGCAGCGCCAGTCCAGAGCCAGGCGTCCTCGCCCCAGCAGCGCTTTACACCTCGGTCTGCGCTCAAAGAAAATATGGATTTCTTTGGAGACCTGGAGAGCCTGCAAGTGCTGAATGGAACGTGGCTGGAGCCAGGAGGGAGTGGCACTACGCCCCCTCCCTTCTCTCTCCACCCTTCATCCGACAGGGTTCGGAGTTGCTAGTTCAAAAACCCACGTTGGTCCGCAAAGGGATGCCCGCACCGGGCGTCAGGTTAGGGGGGAGAGAGCCTGTCCGTGGTGTTGAAGGCAAGCTTACAAGCTGCCCCGCAGGCTTCGGGGCTGTGGCGAGAGGTAGGGAGTACAGTCGGTGGGGAGAAGGCGGGAGACTCGGGAAGCTCACGGAAACGGGAGCTGTCTGCGGTGCTAGCAACAACCATGGCAGAAAGTCCCCGTTCGGAGGGGCCCAGAAGGCGGAAGCCTCTGGGGATGGGACCGGGTCCCAAGAGCCAGCGACAGGGAAAGCAAGGGACAGTCCAAGTCACAGAACTGTGAGGCCCCACTATCTATCCCTCGGAGCAGCCTGGGGTACATGCAGCTGTCACTTCCGTCTCCCACCTCTATAGAGCCTGCGCACCCCTGAGGCTAGCAGTCCCCTACGGGGGCCGGGGCCTGGCCCCAAGGCGGCAGCTGACCTGGATGGTCTGTCTGTTGTAGACTTTTACCACGTGGAAGTTAAAACTGTAGATCCCTTTGCGCGGGGCGATGAAAGTGCTGCGTTCTGAATCAAAGTTGTTCCCGATGTTCACTAGTACCTATAACGAAACGGGAACCGAGGGGAGTGGACAGGATTCAGTCCCAGACTGTCATCCCCGCGCCTCCGCAGAGCCCTTGAACAGGATCGGACATCCGTCTTCCATCGCTCCCCCCACCCCGCCACCAATCCAATCTGCGTGCCGCGGGAGCAAGAAGCACTCACCTGGTCGAAGTAGATGATCATGGTGCGATTACTCATCTCGGACGGTTCGTGGTTGGTGCTCCTGATAGCAGAGAAAGCCACCTTGGCGCTTCCGGAGCGCACCGAGATGCCCAGAGCTGTGCCCGTGGGATCCGACGTGGGGTTGGAGTCGCACACCACCAGGCACTTGCCCTCGAGCACGATGGGCTCCGTCTCATTCTGCCCTCGGGCCGGGCCTGCCAGCCACGCAGCCCCC